TTGTAATGTAAAAGCCTGTATCCGGCTGTGTAAAACTTGTAATGTAAAGGCTCCGGCTGGCGGGGCCGTTGTAATGTGAAATCCTGTATCCGGCTGCATAAAACTTGTAATGTAAAATATTATTATTAGCATATAACAGTGTCGCTATGCTTGCATGCCCCCGGTCAGTGGAGCCTCGGTGACATCGCTACAATGTTAGTCTCCGATTGACGGAGTATTGCCTCTTTTGCTTATATATAGGCTCCGATTGGCGGAGTTTGGTCAATGTTTGCTATGTACAGCCTCCGATTGGCGGAGTTTAACGATGTTTGCTATGTACAACCTTTGGGTGGCGGAGTTTGACGATGTTCGCTATGTACATCCTCCAGGTGGCGGAGTTTAACGATGTTTGCTATGTACAACCCCAAACTTGTGGAGTTTGGCGCTGTTAGACGGTGGTCCCCGATTGGTGGAGTTGTTGATGAGGTTAGATTACAAGCTCCAGTTGGTGGAGTTATTTTGAAAGAAAACTAACTATCCTATTTTCCTACGAGGATCCTCTTTTCTTCAGCACTTGATCCGGATCTTGAGCGTACCTGCAAAAAATTTAAATGAAATATTCTAAGACATAAGATGCAAGTTGAACTACTTCGGGGAAATAAAGTAGGGAAAGAGTATTTTGGCTCATGATTGTGAGAAGTCGAATGGCGTGTATGGTCATGCCCCAAAACTTGATGTTGTTTTCTTGATTCCTGTGTTCCTGCACTAAAAGAAATTTTTTAGTTTGGGAGGGGGTGTTGATTTGTATCAACTCGCGGACTGAAGCCTCGTCATTGGAATCCTTCGACGTCTTCTTAGCCCGTTTGTAGTTTCTTAACCTAGAGACGTGGTAGGTGGATGAGTAAAAAAAAAAGAATATTTTTGAAAAGAATTAGCTTGTTTTTCTAGAAAATAAGTATACTACGTATATTAGGTGTGTGTATATATATATATATATATATTGTAATTCTCCAGCGTTTTTAGATTATGACATGTTCCGAAGTCCATCAAGCTTTCCATTTTGTTGACTATATCCAACATAGTCCTCCTGTAGCTTTTACCCTTCTGAGGAAGCTTTCCTAGCTCTTTTGAAAACACTGTGACGATCAATATTCTTCAACATTCTGAGGTTACGCTAACTATGAGGAAGTGTTTCCTAAGGGTAAGTAAAGAAGAAAAATAAAAAAATAAAAATTATGCAATGCATCGATCGAGCCTGACTCAGGCTGCCTACGTATCCCCAAGATAGGAATCAGATCGTAACGTAGTTCAAATACAAAAGGAAAGTGAAAAATATGACATGCAATGTAAGAACATGTAATGTAATGACCGAGCTTGACTCAAGTTGCCTGCGTATCCAAGTGGAATCAGATCGTAACGTAGTTCAATTACAATAGGAAAGTGAAAAATATGACATGCAATGTAAGAACATGTAATGTAATGACCGGGCCTGACTCAGGCTGCCTACGTATCCAAGCGGAATCAGGTCAGGACGTAGTTCAAATACAATGGGAAAGAGTGAAAAATACAAAGGGACCGAATCCGAAAAGGATTGTCTATGTATCCCACCGAGGGAATTCAGGTCGAGCGTAGTTCTAAATACATGGAAATGATGATTTTGGGTTTTCTTAAGGGAGACCGGATCCGATGTGGGTTGCCTACGTACCCCACCGTGGGAAGTCAGGTCTAGACGTAGTTCTGTTACATTGAAAAATGCAAAAGTACACAAAATAAGCGCTAATCTTGAGGTCTTCAGATGTAGTATTTCTTTGTATGGCGTCTGAATTGGTTGGCTTTGTGCTTACTCTGCCGTCCATTTCTGCTAAGATAACGGCTCCTCCTGAGTGCACTCTATAAACCATGTAGGGTCCTTGCCAATTTGGTGCAAATTTCCCTTTGGCTTCTCCTTGATGAGGAAAGATCTTCTTCAATACTAACTGCCCCGGTGTGAACTGTCGAGGTCTGACTTTCTTGTTGAAGGCTTTGGTTATTCTGTTCTGATAGAGTTGTCCATGACAAACCGCGTCCATCCTCTTTTCATCGATAAACATCAACTGTTCATGCCTGCTACGTATCCATTCTGCATCGTCGAGACCAACCTCTTGGATAATCCTTAAAGACGGTATCTCAACCTCAGCTGGTATCACTGCTTCTATTCCGTATACCAATAGATAAGGAGTTGCTCCAGTTGAGGTTCGAATTGTGGTGAGATAACCTAGCATAAGGCAAATTTTCATGCCAACATTTGTAGTTGTCAATCATCTTTCTCAGTATCC